AGTTCATATTGCTGTAATGATGGCATTTTCTCTTAATAAAACAATGCCTCCTAACAAAATACTACAACATAAATTAAGTTCAATTCAGTGCAAAATTTGCATTTCAAATCGCCAATTTTGGTATATTTCTGCACTTCAGCCATAAGAATAGATAGCTCTGTCATTAGGAAAATAAAAAGTTATCTGAAGTCAGAAGTGAATATCAGCCAACTGTGCAGAAAATTGCATGCAATATTGCACAGCAATGCATGATTGATGATTTTATCAGTCCAACTACTCGTTGAATTATGCAATTTGCATCTGACCTAACGACCTGTGCATTAACTTATTTTGTAGAGGTCAAATTCATCCATTCTTTATCAATACCAAAAATCATGAATTGTTACATGCCATAATTGTTATCTGATGTATTTCAATCGTCATTATGTGCATCAATTTTGTTAAACAAAATTTATCCTTTTCCATTTATTGTTTAAAACCTCGAAATCTCAGCAAATAATTTGTCAACAAGAATAACAAATTCATATTAAAAGCAGAAGAAACAGCTACTGCTTGTTTTTCTGCTTGGTTCACTTTTATTTTGAGCCACTTATTTTTTAATCAAAACTATAACTTATATAGCCATTAAAAACGGATTTTAATTCATTTTTGTAGCACGTGATAGCATCGCAGCTAAATTAAGTGTGAGTCTTTATTATTTCTTCAGATATATTGTAATGCTGAATAGCGTGAATTATTAATTTTTTTATGAGCCATTTTTATGAGTGTTTAGGTATACTTCTTAACTTTGTGTAATTCTCGTAGCCAACTTTTTATGAGTATTTTTTGAACTTTGAAAGAAAATTTTTTACCGTGTAGAATTATCATTCTCGATCTCTGTGCACGTTGCAAAACCAAAAATGTGAGTTTGGACTGAAAATTTGCATGCTTCATTAACTCTATTACTGTTAACATCCATATGTAAGAAAAAAAAATGTAATCACCAGTTAAAGTCATCATACTTTATTTTTTATCACACATTGATAGATCAACTTCAAGTTTTACTTATTGCTTTTCTTTATGAAACAAATGCATAATTATTTTTTTCGGAGGATTCTAGTTACTCCAATTATAAATTTAATTAAGTGTTTTTAAGGATTAATTTTTGAACTGAGTAATAAAATCAGTTAATAACTGATTAAACTGTATATTTCTAAAAAGTATAATTTGTTTTGAAATGATCAAAATGTCAATAACTTGAATACTTTGCGCTATTTGAAACCAGAATTATAATATATCAGTTATTGACTGAGAAATTAAACTTAATAATTCGAATAAATAGCTATTATGGCGAAAAAAAATGTTTATGCAAAATTATTTAGGCCGATTCTTGCAACAATATCATATGAGGATTAACCGCTGTACTTCAATCAGTACTACATTTTTTTGAATATTTCTTTCTAATAATTGCAAGCCCTCAAAATTTGAATTGAAATTTCAGTGCAAAATATTTGATTACTATCATATTTTAAAATTAAATAATTTATGATTGTGCAGATTCGTCCATTGAAGGGGCTGATTGATAGAATACAATCGAACTCAATTATTTGAGTGCTTTTTTTTACTTTGCAAACTTTGCTGCAGTTTGTTTTTGCCACAAAAGTAAGTAATATACTTAAATGCAAAAATGCCACAAGCGCAGTATTTATTGCTTTGCTTACTTCACCTTTCACATTATAATTTATTTTTTCTTAATATTGCCGATGTTTTCTTTCATTCACAAATGCTTCTTTCTTGCTTAAAACAAATTTTTGCTAGTATTTATGCAGAATGAGTTTGTTGAAATCTTCCACAATTTCTTGCAGTCGTAAAAAATTAATACCAGTAAATTAGCATAGAAATTGATACGTTTATGCTTTCGTATGTAGCACTTAAGTGAAAAATGAACTTACGTTTGCTAGTAAATCTTACATTTTATATTGTTTGCAAATGCAAATTGAGTTGAAAAGAGCAAAAATTGCGAATTTTCAAGTGTTTTAACATTATAATCCTTGCAAGTGCTTGCTTTACACGTTTGCTTTTGTCTTTTCAAACTCAAAAATAACAGTACACTTTTTCTCCACGTTGTATAGTTTTTCTAGACCTTTACTTAATACTAATTTTGCTTGAAAATGTCACTGTTAAATTTTTTCAACTTCAGTTATTTCCAGAAAAGCTAATTTTAACTTTGATAGCAATCTCTATACTATGATTTGATATGCTATTTTTGACATTAACTATATTGCCAAGTAATTAATGCATAAATTTATTTATCAATTAATTAATTATTCACTTATATTGCGCCCTCCTTCCTTCTATTTTTTCTTATTATCATTAGTCTAAAATTTTGTCATCACATTATTATTCAAAACTATTTATTAGATTCTAACAACAATGATTTCCCTTCACTTACATTTATACGTAGCCATAATTGATAATATACTATGATTTGATATGCTATTTTTGACATTAAATATATTGCCAAGTTTATAAAAAGTAATTGCTAGTAATGCTACCGTACAATTAATATATTTAATAATGAAACTAATACTGAATGTGATAACATCGGTGTTTCTTGCTCTTTTGAACAAGTTTTTCAAGGTTTTTAAAATTTTTATTACTAATAAGCTCTATTAGCATTATTATTCTGATAATGCACGAGCTTTCAGGATAATTTGTTATTACTGTTGCTTTTTTAAATCATAATTATCAAAATTTTTTATCCCTTATTATTTTTCTATCATTTATCATCTATTTATCTATTGAAAATTGCAGTTTTTTGTTGCTTTTAATAATACTTTTCAATCTACTCTTTCCATACCACTCAAATTACCGAAAAATCTGATTATGATTTTTAATCATTACTTTCTGTCACGTTGCAAAAATATTATTCTCCGTTTTTTTTAGCACAAATCAGCGATATTTTGAAATTTTGTCCACTGCAAATATTCACAAATGAAATATATATATATACAATCATGGCAGCTATTTATTTCAAATAATTATATTTTATAATTGTCAGAAAAGAGGACATGTTTGCTAAATTTAAATTTTCATTAAAGTAAAGACTAAGCAGCATTAACACTATTCCACATTCTCATTTATCCCGCAGTTCCTCGGTGCCAAAATTGTGTATTATTTGTTTGTGAGAAAAATTTTGTCATTGTGCAGTTTTTGGGGAGTACTTCATTGGCTGAACATTTATTCATTGATAAATGCTAACTAGTGGTAAATTTAGGATTAGCAATGTTCGCTATAAATTTGCATCAATCATTGCGCGAGTATTTGTTAAAAGAATGACAGATATGAGTCGATTTGAGTATAGTTTTGTTTGAAATTGTTGAAGGAAATGGAAATCAGAAATGTAATAATAAACCTTTGGGAATAGACTTTATGAACGAACGATTTTGCAGTTATTAACTGCTTTTCAACGCTTTTCCTCTTCAAAGTACTTCATATTCTTCTGCAAATTACTCTTCTCTTCACTACAAAAATCTCTTTTGATAATATTCTTGCAAAATTTCCGCAAGACTATAAATTTGTTCTAAATACTTGCCTAATGCAAATAATAATCTATTACATGGCTAATATCTGTTATCGTTTGTTTCAAATTTTGTGTATTTATTCCATTAGTCCAAATATTTATGTGAAAAGTCGTTTTCGCAGTTACATATTCATCTTTTGACTTTCATTCTGTGCTAATTAAATTAACAAATTAATTATTTGGCTGGTAAATGACAATAATTATTAGCATCTGCGCATGGTATTAATATACTGTAAGTTATTAAAGCTGACAATAAAATATGATTAGTCTATGAAATCATGTTTTTTTTAGTTTTCAAACTTCTCGCTGCTTGCTTGTCTCAAATTTTTGAAAAGACAAATTATTTTATATTCGTAATTCTAGCTTTTTATTTTCATGTCACACGCAAGATAAGTATTATATGTGAAATTTATAACAAGTAGTGATGACTTAAAGCAAGTGATAGATAAGATATGAAATAGTAATTTTGTGTCTTACTAAATTTTTCGTAATTATATTTTAGCAAAAAATCGTTATTTTCGTGCTTTATTGCATTTACTTCAAGAATTTCATTACAAAAGGAATAAAATTTGTAAACAAAAAGTTAAAGTGAGATCGAATAAACAGTGATAAACGAAAGTTATTACAGCTTGAATTAAGGTTTTATCAGAAGTGAAGAACTGATAAAAGACAAGTGCTAACATTCTTAAGGGAATTTACTAGCCTTAGTTAATTTGTGTTAGACTGTAATCGCTATATTACAGTTGATTTTGTTTATGCACAATTCAAATTCGGCAGTTATATCTTAAAACAAAGATAAAATAATTCAAAACTATTTTTTGAATGTCGTCTATAGTTCTTATTCCGTTGCCATAAACATTTAATCGCATTCCAATTCTCGAAATTTCTATTTTCGCTTTTTTATTAGTTTTTCTCTTCAAATGAAATGAATTGCTGTAATGCTACTAATCCCAGGAATGAAATATTTTGTAAAAAAAATTTAAGCTTTATTATTTATTGATTATTGTTGGAATTTTTTAAAAGTAGTGCATCAGATTCTAAGGATATTTCCATCGATTTGAAAACTTACGTGCGAAGCATTTCAATCGGCAGTTACTTGTGAATATTTGAAAATATTCAGAATGTTTTTTGCTTGGAGAATATATCGCTGTGAAAATGCTTCAATTCAGTCTGAAAAACTATTTTTTCGATTGTTTAAGTTCTTCTGAACTTAGCAGTCTTATTGTTCTGCTATTGCATTATTTTTTTAGGAAAACAAAGTGATTTCTATTTTTCGAATTGATCGGAGTGAGAACGAAAACTTTCTTCTTGATGATATCATAAAGGATTTTGTCTTCTAAAATGATGACATTTGACCTAAAATCATTTGAAAATTCGACTGAAATCAGTACAGCCATTTTGCGCTTTTCAAAATGAAAAAAGTTACAAAATTTCGTCAATGACCGTGACAACACTACGTTCTACAGTACTTTTGGCGGTTGTAATCACCGCAATGCTATCCACTGTACAAAGTTCCCTGGATGACCATCCTGACTCATATTGGCTAACTGTTGACGTACTGAATGTGGAATGGCGTAAAGGTTGTCTAACGACGGCAGGTTGTGCTGAGCCACGATTTCAAGTTACTAAAGTTAATACGGTAAATAATGAAGCCAACTCTATCAGTTGGCCTGTGACCCTGAAATTAGCTGAGGTAAATAATTTGTATTCATAAAAAAACGGGTATTCTGCATTACTATTTTGTTTTATTTTAATTTATACTTAAGATTGCCAAAGATATGATCTGTTTATGAAGTTATTTGATATAAATAAATAAGATATTAAAGAACAGTCAGCATTTAATATAAACAATTTTTATAACTAAAGAAACTTGCAGAATATCAAACAGTGAGAAATTTCAATTCATGAATTTCAAGTTAGGAAAAAATTGAAAGTTAGAGACATATTTGATATCTGTGCAATCTTAGTTCCGTTAGGTTGTCGATGATTAAAAATTTAGAATATTCATAGCTCTATTATTTATAATAAAAATTTTATTAATAACGTGTGGTAAGGCTTTTGATCTTAGCTTTTTTCACTTATTAAAAAGTCAAAACTTTTTATATATCCACTGCGTGACTTTCCATTCGTTGAAATCAACACAAATCAGACGTATACATTTATTATTTAAGTTTAAAAAAGCTTTTGCTTAATTTAATGAGTTAGGAAATTGAATCTTTTCAAAATTAAAGTCGTGAATGTGAGACGGAAAATTCTGTCTTTAATTCAATCTTGAGATATTTCTCAAGTTTTATTCAACCGATTGGAAATCTTCAAATTTGTCTTTTGACGTCAACTTTGAGATATAAAAAGTCATATTAAAAAGTCGCACTAATTTCGTTCTGTTAGAGTATCTTTTTTTGTGCACAACTCGAAGTGACACAAACATTCCAATTTTTCCTTATTTGTGTCTTCTCTTGAAATGCCATTGGAATTAAATTTGCGTATTGAATTAAATATAAAATGCATTGACATAACTAAACAACTTTTCGGACTCTATCCAAAATCTGTCTCTTACGTTGAAAGTTGTTCTAAGCTGCTGAAAACTTCACTTAAAAAAGATAATTTCAGTCTCAGATTTATTATAAGTTTTGTATTTCACTGTAGAAGTTAACAAATTCTCCACAAAAATTATGATTACAAAGTGTACAATGCATTTAATAATTAATTAATTTCCTCTAAATTTTCTTCATTCAAATAATTTTTGCAAATTGTTAACAGGAAGGTACTCACTCATTTATATCTCATTGGACTTCACAAGGTGCCAATGATATTGTTCTCAAATGTGAGGTGACTGGCTTGGATCCCACCTATGGTTTCCCAAGGATCTGTGATGCAACTCCTTCCAAACGCGTATTTGATGACGAAGTTTGTGCTTACAAGAAAATCTAAAGATTTATTTTGTGGCTCTTATCTGAAAACTGATTTTTTCGCAACTTTAGTTGGCAGTTCGAAAATTACAAAAATCTTTAAATTATTTGTTGCAACTTTAGTTTTAAATGCAATATTTTAGATTTCAAGTTTTAAAAGATTTGATATGCAGAAATTATTGTTTCATTTAATAGAATGATCATTTGGAACGCTTAAGAAAGCAACAACGTTTGACAAATAATGGCAAACTCGTCATTGAGGTCAAAGGTAAATGTTTCAATGTCTCACTTGCTGTTCAGAAATATGATCGCTGTCCGACATGTGTTGATCACCACAGTATTGCCATCGTAGAACAAGTAAACATTTGAAAACATCTTAAATAATTGATGAACTTAAAGATTTAATTAGTTAACAAATGTATTTTTAATGCAAAGCAATTTGAAAATTGCAAATAAAAATTAAATTTATTGTTTGAATGAGTGAAAAATTTTGATCTTTTATTTATTTAAAAAATTTAAAAACATCAGTGATTTACTGCCTTTTTCTCATTTTGTTTTGTATCAATTTTTTTGGGTTTTTTTTTTTTTTTGAAAAATTAATTGTTTTGTAATTAACACTGACAGAACTTTAGTACACCGATTCGGAAGTCAGTAATGACTTGCTCCGTCACTTCAGTGGAAATGAACATTTCTTCATGGCAGTGATAATTTTATCAACATTCACGGTTATTTTAACCGCTGGATTTGCTTGTTTACTCGTTGCTTTTCTGCAACAAAAACGTGAGTTGAAAACATCCACGTCAAAACAACGCTTACACTCAGAACAGCTGAATACAGTTCATGCCATACATGCATGTCAAGAAGACGCACGGTGCGATTTTAACACTTTTGCTATTAAATATTGAAATTAACATTTTCCAATTTCTAATTAAAAATTGAGTACTTTATTTCGATTTATATAACTATGTGATTGAACTTTTATCAAAAATTTTTTGGAGGAATTATTCAAAGTAATTTAGTTTCCAAGTTTGAAAAAGACTTAGAATGTGTTAACTTTGAATGTCTCACTCATTCACTCTTTTAAAACAGCATTTTGGTTCCAAATATTTGTAGCTAACTTCAAAATTGAAAAATAAGTTCGAAAAATCAAATAAAAGAAATTCCAATTAGTTTCAAATATATGAACTACAGAGACGTAAATTTAAAATAATTGTAAATAAATTTGATTGATATTTTTATGAAAAATTAATTTTCTGGTAGTAAATATGATAAATATGTGTAGCTAACTTTTCAGGTGAATTTACTGAGTTACATTGTTACTTTAGATACGAGATACCTTGGGAACATAAAGCGAGAACCTTTCGCCGACCAACATATCGGAATGTTAGCAGCAAAAATGATTTTTTGCCGATATCACCTTCATTTACAGGAGTTACGGTTCCTGATGTCACTACAGCATTAACGCGGCCAGATTCACAGAAATCTCCGCCAAGTTTGTCGTTTGGCACGGAACCTCATGATGATAGCGGCTTAGAATCTGTCTAATATTTGGAATGAACATTTTCTCATTTTTTATCAATAAAATAGCTTTTAACATTTGTTTCTGCAATGTTGTTAGTAATTGTAAAGCTGGAAAAAGAGTTGAAAGTTTTCATGTAGAAGTTCACGTTTAAACGTTTAGTCACACTCATTACAATTGCGAGTTGAATTTGAAATCGCCTCATTATACTTTATGAAATAATTATGCTTAAAAAATTTTGCAGTTGCAATTTTTACTGTTTGTAGAAGTTTTGATTTCTTTTTTCAGGAATTGTTTATTGAAGAATGAATTTTTAGTTGTGAAGTTTATTTGAACTCTTAATTTTATTGGTTTTTCTTTCATTTGCATTCTTTTTCCCAAAGCAAATATTCCATCGGTGAATATTGCCATTCGAAAGAATATTCTGAACTAAGTTTGTAGAAACTTTTATCGAATGAATCGTTCTTTTAACTCTGTTAATTGTTTCTGATTGCTGTGCTTATCTTCGAATACTAATTGTGATACTTCATAAGTAGATCATAAATAAACTGTAGAGCAGTTAAGATTAATCGTGTTGTTACCGATTGAGTTATTAATTTCTGCCTTTTATAAATAATATTTTGAAGTTCATTCCGTCCGGGAAAAAATATTTCGATTTTTTTTTACATTTTAAAATCATATGAGAATGAAATAATGATGAAAAGAAGTTAAAATGAGGAATTTTTTAATGATCAATCAAAAATTGAATTAAGAAGAAAAAATTGCACTAAATTTAGTAAGATTTACTTAAAATGTTGCAATAACAAACACCAGGAAAATGTCCGAAATTAAATCAAAGCCAAAAGTAGCTAAATTTTACGTGATGCACTCCTGTCATACAGCAATTTCTTACTTGGAATGGGCACTAAAATTTTTTTCAAAGTTAATTAATAAAAATATTTTAGCTTAATTTTGTGATTATTGACTTGTTATTCAATCACAGTCTAAACTTATTTACATCAAGCCAAATTTGATGCACATTGGTTATTGGATACGTTTAAATTCACATAATTGGATTCACGTAAGTAAACATAATTCTAATTCTAG